AACATCATTCATTGATTCTAGGTATGCATATGCCAAAATGGAGGCCGGTGTGACCCCGTAACTGGCACCTGCAGCTGTCCCGCGGGGTTTTTCGGTCCCCTCTGCCAACACAACTGCCCAGCCGGCTGGTGGGGTGCCGGATGCGCAATGAAATGCAACTGTTACAATATGCAGGAGAGTGGTTGTGATCCGATCAGCGGAAGATGTCGCTGCAAACCAGGCTATACGGGAGAACGATGCGAACAGGGTAAGATCATAGGCAGTTTTCTTCGCTTCCTCGTGTCTGCTCCTATCGCTATGACCAGAGTTAACCTAGCCTGAGTTAATTCCTGTCTATGCGATTTTTAAAATAAACATGGAACCTGACTATGATAAGTGTGAAACCCAGAAATAAAATTTATCCTAGAGCAGAATCGAACGACCGGCCTCTTAGCTTCACTTCTCGAGGTCGGATGTCTGAGCTATCGAGGAGTGGATTGCTAGTCGGGAGAAAATATGCAGGCTCGATGTTCGATCCATGCATAAAGAAGTACCGATTATTTCCCACTGCTAGTATACTTATACTCCATAGTTTGATCGGGAGCACCTCGGGTACGATGTCGAGAGGTTTGCAGCTCACTTCAGGCTGGAGCCACGACCATTTTTTTGTGTGCGTTCACAATCTTTTTGTGATGATACCCATGTGAACATTGAAGAAGCCAACGTTTCCAATTATTTAACCATAGTCCTGTACAGTAATACAGGGTGTCCCAGATGTAACTGACCCTTTTGATTTGCTAATAAAACGAAAATTATTAACGCTAGGATATTAAAACTTGTTTTATTCGAAAGAAAACCCTTTCTAGGATTTGGTGCGATGAAAATCCAAGAGAAATTCAAGAAAGGTAGCTGCATTCTCTTCGTGTGACGGTGTGGTGCGGAATAACTGCTTCCAATGTGATTGTCCCATAATTTTTGAAAATAATGATGGCGCAACAGTAACTGTTAATGGCGAAAGATACCGAACTATGATTAGCGAATTTCTAATTCCTGAAA